GGATCAAATGTCAAGCTGGAGGCTTTTCCTGACTCCCACAGCTGCAGGGGTTAACAAATTCAAGATTGGCAGGCAGGATAGCAGGCTGCTGGCTCCTGGCTGCTGAGGCTGATGAATCCAAGATTGTAAGTAAAATGGCAGATTGTTGGCTCATGGGCTGTGAAGGCTACAATCCAAAGATGGCAGCCACTGGTTCAAGTCCAGGAGCTGGAGATGATGATGGCCCAAATGCAGGATCCAAAATAAGCAAAAATTCAGAGACCTTTCCCAAAGTTTCTCCATATATACTGGAAGTAGACCACACTCCAAAGGCAGCACTCCTTCAACTAATTAGCTGCTTAAAGCAAATTCCACCATGGTGGTGATTACACAACATCATGGGAAAAAAAACTACATCATAACTGTCAAGCCACTCAAAATAATAGCTCCGCCCCCATGGGCTTGGGACCATGGTCATGGGAGACATCAAGTTCAACTGGCTTAACACACTACACAAAAACATCTCAGTGGGTATTACGTCAATTCCTGGAACCTTGTTTCTGCCAATTCCTTCGGTGCAGCTTGGACTTCTTCCTTCAATACCAGTGGTTCTTGACCATATGCTACCTTCTGAAATGGATGAACATCAACCAATTCTTCTTGGTACAGTGACTCTGAGTATTCCTTCCATCTTCTTTTGATGCTTACTGCATCACTCAATATTTTGTGCATAGAATCCTTCAATATTGTAATTTGAGGGTAGAATTTTTTCTTCAGTTCTTTCAGCTTAAGAAATGCTGAGAGTGTTCTTTCCTTTTGGTTTTCTAGTTCTAGTTCTTTGCACATTTCATTATAATACTTTACTTTGTCCTCTTGGGCTAGCCTTGGAAATCTTTATGTTTAGCTCTTTTATTTCTTCATTTCTTCCATTTGCTTTAGCCATTCGCCATTCAAAATCAAGTTTCAGAATCTCTTCTGACATCCACTTTGGTCTTTTCTTTCTCTCCTGTGTTTTTAATGACCTTTTACTTTCTTCATGTATGATTTTTTTGATGTCATCCCACAACTCATCTGGTTTTCAGCCACTGGTGTTCAATACATCAAATCTATTCTTCAGATGGTCTCTAAATTCAGGTGGAATACACTCAACATTATATTTTGGCTCTCCTGAACTTGTTTTTAATTTTCTTCAGTTTCAACTTGATTTGCATAAGAGCAACTGATGGTCTGCTCCACAGTCTGCTCCTGGCCTTGTTTTGACTGATGATATTGAGCTTCTCCATTGCCTCTTTCCACAGATGCAGTCAATTTGATTCCTGTGTATTCTATCTGGTGAGGTCTACATGTATAGTCACTATTTATGTTGTTTAAAAAAAGTGTTTGCAATGAGTGAGTCATAGGTCTTGCAAAATTGAATCATATGATCTCCAATATCATTTCTACCAACAAGGCCATATTTTCCAACTACTGACGCATCTTCTTTGTTTCCAACTTTCACAATCCAATAACCAGTAATTACCAATACATCTTGATTGCATGTTTGGTCAATTTTAGACTGCAGAAGTTTGTAAATACCTTCAATTTCTTAATCTTTGGCTTCAGTGGTTAGTGCATAAATTTGAGTAATAGTAATATTAACTGGTCTTCCCTCTAGGCATATGGATATCATCCCATCACTGACAGCATTGTACTTCAGGATGGTCTTGAATTGTTCTTTTTGACAATGAATGTGACATTATTCTTCAGTTTGTCATCCCAGTTCAGTAGACTATATAACTGATTCCAAGTGGCCAATACCAATCCATTTCAGCTTACTAATGCCTGGGATATGATCTTTATGTGTTCCATTTCAATTCTGACAACTTCCTAGATTCATACTTTGTACGTTCCATGGCATAGTGCCTAAGGCATTTGACTGCTAACCAACAAGGTGGCAGTTCAAACCCACCAGCCACGCCTCAAAAGGAAGGTTGGGCAATCTATTTCCATAGTGACATCGCCTTGAAAACCCAAGCAGGGGTCGCTATGATTCAGATCTGACTTGACGGCAGCGAGTTTGTTTTGGTTTGATTTTTAATGAATCTTTGCAGGTGATCTTCTCATTTTGTCTTGTGCTCCATCAGCAAATAAAGGTCCCAAAACTCTACTCCATCCACGTCATTAGGTCAACTCTACTTTGAGGAGACAGCTCTTCTCCAATCATATTTTGAGTGACTTCCAATCTGAAGGGTTCATCTTACCGCACTACATCAGACAATATTTCACTGCTATTCATAAAGTTTTCCAGGAATATACCAAACAGTGTTTCAATGATATTCATAAGGTTTTCAGTGACCAATATTTTCAGAAGTGGATGGCCCATCCTTCTTCTCAGTCTGTTTTAGTCTGGAAGCTCTGCTGAAATCTGTCCACCATGGGTGATCCTGCTGGTACTTGAAATACTGGTGGCATAGCTTCCAGACTTCACAGCAACATGCAAGCCATCACAGTATGACAAACTGACAAGACAAGTGGTGGAACTCTACTTTAGATGTATAAAATCACCCCTGGAGGCAGTGCTAGTTGCCTCCCAGACCTGTACAACTCCTATGGTAGTTAAGGTTGTGTGTCAATTTGACTGGTCCATCCATGGTTTTGACTGGCTGAGCAGCTGGATATAGTTATTCCCCATGATGAGATTGTAATCACCTCCATGGTAGAATCTGCTGTGAAAGGCTAAGTAACTGAAGGGAATAAACTTTGGAATGTGGCCTCCTTCCAGTATATATATAGAAGCTTTGGGAACGGTCTTTAGCTTTTTGGCACATTTGGATCCTACATCTCCAGTTCCTGGACTTGAACTACTGATCTGCTCTGTTGCCTGCCAATCTTGGAATTGTTCCTGGACTTGAACCTGTGGCCTGCAGTGTTGCCTACTCATCTTGGGACTGTGCCATTTTACTTTTTGACCTTGGGTTCATCAGCCTCAGCAGCCAGCAGCTAACTGAGCTAGGAGACTCCTCCAGCTCCAATGGGCCTGGAACAAGAGGCAAAGCTGAAGCCCACAGCCAGGGGGCCTTCACCCAGCCCTTCGAACTGGCACTGTGAATTTGGACTTCTAGCTTCCAAAATTGTAAATGAATAAATTCCTGTTTGTTAAAGCCATCAGCTTGTCATTTCTGTTATAGCAGCACTGGAGAACCAAGGTAACTCCTAAAGCCATTCTAAAATCTAGTAAAAGTCCAGGAAAAAGTAAAGAAGTCAACACATGCCATGAGGGTTTGTCTTGGGTCAGGATGGGGGTGCTCATGAACTAAATGGCTATTATCTTCAGTAATGATAACCTATTATCAACTACCAAGTACTAGGAACAGAATTGTTTTAACCCTGTTATCTTAGTTAATCCTCTCAGTAACGTCTATAATCAGTTGTCTTAGAGTCAATTCTGACATGTTACAGAGTAGAACTACTCCATAGGGTTGTCATGACTGTGACCTTTCAGAAGCCGATCACCAGGCCTTTCTTTGAAGGCACCTTTGGGTGGGTTTGAGCAGCCAGCCTATGGGTTATTTGTGCCACCCAGAGACTCCTGCAACAACCCCACAGGGATAAATTATTACCAATCTAAGTATGAGGAAACTGAAGTTTGGAGTTGTAAGTGGACTGACAAAGATTTTAAACCTGTTAAGCACTTCTGTGATGCCCTAGGCCTCCAGCCATTCACAAATCTGTTGCTTCCCCCTCAAAACAGGGTAACCAGATTAGAATGGTTTAAGGAAAAACGAGTCTGCCATTGTGATTAAGACTCATTGTGACCCTACAAGACAGAGTGGAACAGCCCCTCCCTAGAGTTTCCTAGGCTGAAATCTTTACAGGAGCGGAGCAGACCACCTTGTTATTTCTCCTTCAGAGCAGCTGGTGGGTTCCAACCATAGAACTTTAGGTTAGCAACTGAGCTGCTTTAACCACTGCACCACCAGGCCTTCTTTAAAAATGGGTCTAAGAGGGCCTAGTACATAGCTGATGACCCTGGGTGGTGCAAATGGTAACGCTTTCAGCTACTAACCCAAACGATGGTGGTTGGAGTCCACCCAGATGCACCTCAGTGATCAAGTTCCAAATCAGCCATTGAATACCCTATGCCACAGTTCTACTCTGACACACGTGGGATCACCTTGAGTCAAACTACAAAACTAGTTTAATACTGAGCTAGGAGCTCTGGTAGCATAGTGGCTAAGACACTTGCCTGCTAACCAGACGGCTGGCGGTTCAAACCCACCAGCCACTCCTCGGAAGGAAGGTTGGGCAATCCTACTTCCGTAGTGATAACTGCCTCGGAAACCCAAGGAGGGGTCGCTATGAGTCGGGGCCGACTCGACGGCACATAACAACAACAACATAGCTATTTATCCTCTCAGCTTGCCACCCCCCTGCCCCGCCCCATCCAGTCCATTGCCCCTCTGGGAGTTGCCCAGGGAGCCTGCCCAGATACACCATCATGACAATGGCTGCGCCTAAGGCATCTGACTGCAAACCAGAAGACTGGTGGTTCAAACCCACCAGCCACTCTTCGGAAGGAAGATTGAGCAGTCTAATTCCGTAGAGATACAGCCTCGGAAACCCAAGGAGGGGTCGCTATGAGTCGAATCTACTCCACAGCAGTGAGTTTTTTTGTTTGTTTGTTTGTTTTGTTTTTTTGTTTTTTTTCAGTTTAGCAGCCCGGGTTTGGAGCATTCGCTCACGCCACAGCAGCGCATTCGCAGTGGCCAGTTTCCAAAGTCCTTCTGCCCACCCTCTCACCTCGTACCCTCTACAGCTGCAGGTCCAGTGATGTCTCCTTGTTCTGCCCGGAAGCGAGAGTTTACAATTCCTTTGGTGCCGGGTCTCAGAGGTGTGAGTTCCAGTCTCAAGCCTCCTAGAGCGAGCGTAATTGCTGCGCAGGCGCGTTCTGAATCAGCCTCCTCGAGATTGGTTGAACTCTACCCTCCTCAGTTCCCTTAGCAACGCAGTACACAAGTGCTAGCCTGAGAGGTTCGCGCAAGATGTGCTTCAGCAAGGAGGGTGAGCCGGGCTGCGGTAGAGGAGTTAAGGGTAGCTTGTAGCGGGAAAAAGAAGGCAGGCAGGATGGAAAGACAAAGGGGAAGGAAATGCATGCTGTCCGCCCTCCTCCATGGGGTTAGTTCTGGTTCTTGTTATCAACACGGTCAGACCCTGTCCTCTGCTCCGCATCACCCCCAAAACACACACACACACACACACACACAGACCAAGGTGCCTTCCCTCACGTGGTGTTTCTCCTCTTTCTTCATCTTCAGAGACGCTGGTTGACTATTCCTTTGGATCGTGTCAACAGAGGAAAGTCTTTCCTCACTACATTCCCCTAGACTTTATGGGGAACAAGTTTCTCCCTCTGAGGGGAGCTTACCACAGAGGACCTGCAAGTTACTTAACAGAAGATGTGAGTATTCACCTCCTCTTAAATGGGTCTCAGCTCCCCGGGTTGTCTAAAGACACCCAAGTTTCATGGAAGAAAAACTCTATGGGACTGTGATGTTCAGGGTTGTCAATATGAGAAAGTGCCTTGGACTCCTACAACCAATTAATTGTCCAGGCTAATGCCAGAGAGTCAATGACCATTGCTTCCCTCTTCCTGCTCCACCAAATGCAAGTCTTTGCCTCATATTGCCCCCAATGTAGTCCCTACTTCATTCACACCTTCAAAGGCCTGTGAGCCAATGCCAATTACCTCCCCTCAGTAGTGCAACCTGGATTGTTGATCTGCAGAGAGGTAAGTTTATGAAATAACAATATAAAGTTGCATTAGAGCACTTTCAGTTCCCTGGGGCTCAGAGGACAGGATTCATTGGAGTGCATAGAAATGTTATTTAGTTTTCCTACCCAGCCACCTGTGTTACTTACATAATTGTGTAGTGTGGTGCTGCTGTGTTGACCCCAAAGGTGCCAAGATGAGGAAGAAAGAGCAATCTGTTGCAAAGAAAGTTCAGATAGGAGCATTCCAATTCCACTAAATGATGGCTGTAATGTTCTCTATGCTGGTTTTTTTTTTTGTTTTTTTTTTTCTTCTTCTTTTTCTTCTTCTTTTTATGTATTCTACCTGAAGAAATATGGCTTGGCATACAACCTCACTAAAATCCCAACCAGTAAAAAAGGATATGCTTTTGGAGCCAGAACAAGTGTGAGATTTCAATCAAACAACAAGGTCAGAGCACATGCATATTTTGGTGTGATCTTTGTGCTTATATTTGTAATGGAGAGAAAGGAGCAGAGAGGGGAAGGTTACCTAAAAGGATATGCACTGAAATTCAAGAAAAGTAGGCATATGGGCAAAAGCTATTAAGGAAGAAGCCTACCTGAAATGTTTGGATATTCACATTGCAAATGTGTGTCTGAGTGTACTGGGGATCTTGGGGAAAAAAATCATGGGAAGAAATCATCTCAAGACAGGGCTTTGATGCTGAGACACCTGAGGTTAAAATACTAGAAGGTGTGTTTATAGATATTGAAATATCTTGTCAGAAAACAAATTCCAACTTGTCCACCCTTTTGTGTGAGTGAATCGCAAGTCTAAAGGTAGTCAGTATAAGATCATAAAGGTCCCCAGTGGCTCAAACAATTTTTGTTCAACTGCTAACCTAAAGACTGGAAGTTCGAACCCATCCAACAGTGCCACAGAAGAAAGGCCTGGTGATCTCCTTTGGTAACAACCAAAAACACTCTGTGGGGGCAGTTCTACTCTGTGCACATGGTGTTGCATCTATTGGACAATTTCCTAATACTTCAAGCTCAAAGAGCGGGCCTATAGGAGCCCTGGCTATAAAATTCTCTAAATGGGGAGCTGCAACTCCCTACCTGTAGTGGCTACAAGTACACCCTTGGCAGAATCCTAAGCATTATAGATCTTTAGGTAGCTGAACCACACCCATATCTTGATTTTCTATTTACTGTAGACCTATTTCTTTCTATAGCTTGAGGTGGCTGAACCATAGTTGATTTGTGAACAGAAAGAGATTGATCCTGATTTGTCCATCTAGAAGACTTTATGTGTATATATATCACTATCTAACATGCTGTTGATCTTTCTTTTGGAAACAGAATCCTACACTTTACCCAGGCATGTACCAGAAAGTAGATTCTCCGGAGGAAAAACACAAACAGTCTTTTGCTCCATTTAATGTTATGTTACCTCGATGTGGGAAGTGTGATTTAGGAAAGTTCGTTTATCCTGGGTATGTCTCCTATTTTCTGGTGCACTTTAAGAAAATGCAATAGGAAAAGAAGTATGTAGAAAGGACTACATCCGAACCACTTCAGCAAAATAAGAAACCACCCTATTCTTTAATTACTCTCTTGCCTCCCAGTTCTCTCTCATTGTACGATTGTAGAAACACAGTCATTCATTCAATAAGTATTTATTAATGTGCTAGGCTCTGGTAGCATAGTGCCTAAGGCACTTGACAGCTAATCAGAAGGTTGGTGGTTCAAACCTAGCAGCCACTCCTTGGAAGAAAGGTTGGGCAATCTACTTCCATAGTGATACTGCCTTGGAAACCAAAGGAGGGGTCGCTATGAGTCAGGTCTGACTCTACGGCACATAACAACAACAACAAAAAAAACATTTTTGTAGGTTTCAGAGACTTAGCAGTAAACTCATTATGCAAGGTTTCTGATTTCTTGGAGTTTACATTCTAGAGATCAGAATGTTAATATGAAAAGCAAATATACAAGAAAATAGCAATGGTAATGAGAATGACCAATAATTTATTAGCCAAACTGGAAAACTTCTGAGAGTGAAAAAAGAGGCCTTGTTAATATTTATGCTAGGCCATCAACTGTAAGCTAGGACTGCCAGGGAACAAACCAGGAAGTATGAGGATTTGGTGCGATGTCCTGAAGAAAATGAAACAGGATGAGGATATAGGCTGGAGGCTACTTTAGTGAGGGTTGTCACAAAAGATCTCTTTGAGGAAATGACATTTGATCTGAGACCTGAATGACAAGACTGCACTAGCCAGCCCCGTGACAATCTGGGGATCAGAACCCTCCAAGCAATAGGAACAGCAGGTGCAAAAGCCATATGTGGGGAAGGAATTTGGTGTAAAGGAGAAAAGGTTAGTATGGCTAGAGTGTAGTGAGCAAAGAAGAAGTGAAATCGGAGAAAGAAGCCGGGGATATATGGTGTAGGCCTTGCAGGCCGAGAGGTTTAATCTAACTGCTTTAGGAAGCCAGTCAGGATTCATGAAATTCTAAGGCAAAAGATCAAGGTCTGTCTTATACTGAGGAGAAATCTGAGGATAAGAGAGTGAATGTAACTTTCTCAAGGCTGCATTAAGGAAGAAATGATAGTGTTGAATCTTGACCCTCATGTCCACTCTTTCCTGCATACTAAAGAGTTTTCACTAAAAGACCAAATGTTATGAACAAAGACACATTTTTAAATAACCCCATCATCAAGAAAATGTAACCAGCTCTGCTTTGCTGTCCCTGAAGAAATTTTTTATTATTGATAGATTACATTATTGCAGCACGTTTATCCCCAATTTCAAATCATAGGCAGTACTGTTGTAAACCTCTTGTATCATCTGCCATGTCAGGGATGGTCTCTCAGCTAAGGATGCTGAGTTGCAGAAATATTTTTTAAGCTAGGGTTCATCTTTACCTTAGCTAAATGTCAAAACTGAGTACCTTTAACAACTAATTAGAAATACAGTAACAAGCTAAGGAACTTCATACATGCTTAGCATTAAAAAGCTAATCCCAAGGGGTAAGGGGTTCAGGGGTTAGCTATGGTAATGATGGAGGTGATGTATGGACTCATTAGATACGGTGTTTTATATTTTTACTTTTAGCCCTGGCACATACAACCCAGAGATGAAGCCACCCCGAAAGATTGCTTGGCCGATGAAATTTGGATCTCCAGACTGGGCTCAGGTTCCATGTCTACAGAAAAGAACCCTAAAAACAGAGGTAATAAGATTGGACATCCAGGTTGTGGCAGTCGTTCAGCAGTAGAATTCTCACTTTCCATGTGAGAGACCCAGGCTTGATTCCCCATAAATACACCTCAAGTGCAACCACCACTTGTCTGTCTGTGGGGGTTGCTTGTTGATGTGGTGTTGAACCTGTGGACCTTCCAGACTAAGACAGACTAGGAAGAAATGCCTGGTGATCCACTTCCAAATATCAGCCAATAAAGGCCCAATGGATCACAACAGTCTGATCTTGTTGTACATGACATCCCATGAGTTAGGGACTGACTCGATGGCAACTAACAACAATAGAGCACTTTAGCTAGTACTTTCACATTAATTAAGAAGCTCTGATAGTATAGTGGTTAAGGCATTTGACTGGTAACCAGAAAGTCCATGGTTTGAACCCACTAGCTGCTCCATGAAGAAAGATGGGACAATCTGCTTCTGTAAAGATTTACAGCCTTGAACACCCAATGGGAGTCTAAGTCGGATGTGATAGCAGTGAGTTTGGGTTTCTTTGTTTGTTTGTCTGTTTTCACTTTAATTAGTATTAGAGGTTCTTAACCAGGAATCTGTGGATGAGTTTCAGGAAGTCCATGAACCCTTAAAATTATATGCAGAATTGTATATGTATATGCATATGGGAATCTTTTTGGAGAGTTACACAATTTCATCAGATGTTTAAAGATATGTGTGACATAATGAAGTTCACATTTTTTATTTGATCTTCAAAAAAGTCTTCCATGGTAACTTTCATACGCTGCTGGTGGGACAATGAAGTGATACAACCACTGTCGGAAACAGTATGGCACTTCCTTAAAAAGTTGGAAATAGAAATTACCATTTGATCCAGCAATCCTACTACTAGGTATATATCCTAAAGAAGTGAGAGCCAAGACATGAATAGATACATGCACACCATGTTCATCACAGCACTATTCACAATAGCAAAGAGATGGAAGCAATCTAAGTGCCCATCAATGGATGAATGGATAATCAAACTATGGTACATATACAGTGGAATACTGTGCAACATTAAGAATAATGAAGAATCTGTGAAACACCTTGTAATGTGGATAAACTTAGAGGACATTATGCTGAATGAAATAAATCAATCACAGAAGGACAGAAGCTGTATGAGTCCACTATTATAAAAAGTTTACACACGGAAGGAAACTTTGTTGGTTACTAGGGATGGGAGAGGAGGGAAGGGAAAGTTGCTAGCCTGTATTGATTTAGATTCAGGGGAAGGCAATTTACCAAACGTGTGTGGCCAGCACAGTATCACTAAGGAAAGGAAGACACAGAGAGGTGCACAAGAGGTACAGACAACAAAGTTAAACACTTTTACATACCAAATACTGCATTATCGTAATAACAAACTACGAGTGAATGCATAGATAGACAAGCAAGATGATCAGGTACAGGTGGGAAAAGGGAATGTGCCCATGATCATATATAGATTTGGCAGATAATAATTCTCTCTATATATCTGTCTGTGCTATTAAAATGTCCATATATATAATTGAGTGAACAGGGGGCAAAGTTATGATAACTTCTTGTTGTTGTTGTTAAGTGCTTTAGAGTCGTTTCTGACTCATAGTGACCCCATGCACAGCAGAGCGAAACACTGCCTGATCCCGCGCCAGCCTCACAATCCCTGCTATACTTGAGCCCATCATTGCAGCCACCGTGTCAATCCCTCTTGTTGAAGGCCTCCCCCTCTTTCGTTGACCCTCC